TGGAAAAAACGGACCATCAAAGAAAGCAGTACCTTTCTCTGAAGGAAGGAGAGAACTTCCACTTTGAATATGGCCTTGTCTAAATAAGAGCAGATGAACTCAGGAGGCTTCCATGGCCTTGGCAGCTCATGACAAGAGCCTTGGGTGATTACTGACGTCATAAATAGGAGTGTCAATTGTTAAATCAACAGCAGGAGTCACTGTGCACCTGCCCCCCATGTAGGACCTCTGCCCTTAGTGTGTTGTACTATGAGAATTAATGGTGAAACTACTACTCAAACAGTGCTCTATACTTTGTGTGTCTGTGTGGGTGCAGTCTGTTGAAATTTTTACTTAGTATATACTAAGTTATTCTTCTGTATATAAAGGTAATTGAAAATGAATCTTGATGAAGAATGGGATGAGAGAGGGAGTAAGAGATGGGATGGTTGAGGGTGGGAGGGAGGTTATGGGGGAAAAAGCTACTATAATTCAAAAGTTGTGCTTTGAAAATTTATGTTTATTAAATAAAAGTTGAAAAGAAAAAAAGATCTCATGTGTGATCTGATCTGGAGAATATGCCGTATGTACTTAAGAAAAATACCTCTTCTGCTGCTGTTGGTGGAATGTTCTCTATTTGTCCATTAGGTCCATTTGTTCTATTGAATAGTTTGAGTCCAATGCTCCTTATTGATTTTTTGTCTTGATGAAAGTGAGGTATTGAAGTGCCCTAATATTGCTATACTACTGTCAATTTCCTCCTACATTTCTGTGGTTGTGTGTTTTATATAATCATGTGTGCTGATGTTGGGTGCATAGATAAATTGTTACATCTTCTTTTATATACTCACCTCAGTCATTTGAGGCAGTTTTTCATTTAGAGTATATTTTACCTAATATAACTATAATATAGCTATAGCCCTTCTTGCACGGAACATCATTTTTCCATCTTTGTCTTTCAGTCTATGTGTGTCCCCCCCCCCATTTAAGATTTATTTTATGTATTTGAAAGAGTTACAGAGAGAGGTAGAGCCAAAGAGAGAGAGAGAGAGGTCTTCCATCCACTGGTTTACACCCCAGATGATCACAACAGCCAAAGCTGAGCTGATCTAAAGCCAGGAGCCAGGTGCTTCTTCCTGGTCTCCCACACAGGTACAGGGGCCCAAGGACTTGGGCCATCCTCCACTGCTTTCTCAGGCCATAGCAGAGAGCTGGATTGGAAGTGGAACAGCTGGGACTAGAGCCGACACCCATATGGGATGCCGGCACTGTAGGCTGGGGCTTTAGTCCACTGCATCACAGTCCCAACCCCTGTGTGTGTCTTTAAGGAAAAAAATTGTCTCTTTCATAGAGCTATAGCTTGATCTTGTTTCTTTAACAATATTGGATTGTACAATCCTTAACATAATTTTTCTTTCTGCTTATATAGGATTCTTTAATATTGCTCAGAAATGTTTGCCATTTTTTATCAAACTGATCTTACAATATGTTGTTAAATTTATCTCTATTCCAGGCTTTTGAATGCTATTATAAACAGTATAAAATTTATGACCACTTTTTATGAATATATAGAGAAGGTTGATTTTTCTTTTATTGAATTTGACTTGTTATGCTTTTATTTTTCTGATGATATATGAACTTCCAATTTTTGTTTATACACATTTTTTAATTCCTCTGTTGTTTAGATTGGTTTCTTCTGGGATATTCAGAAACAAAATCATGTCATCTTCAAAGAGTGATTTTTTTTCTAATTTACATTCCTCTTATCCATTTGTACGATCTAAGCGCTTTGATTAGTAGTACCAGAGTATTATTAAGAATAATTTTGGACAAGGCCATCTTTTTCCTAATTCTTACTTTAAAAGGAAAGCCTTGATGCTTTCCTATAAATTTGATGAAGTCTTGGGTTGAGATATTTTCGCCTTCATTAAACACTAGGATTTGATTTTAATAAATATTTGTCAGTCTCTATGGAGATGGTTATATGATTCACTTTTTAAAAATTCATTAATACTTTGTAGTGTTTTCTGAGATTTTCTCATTTGGAATTAGCCTATGCTCTTACAGGAAAATGAGCTGGATTTTGGTGTGTTATTCTTTGACTATATTGCTGTTTTTGTCCTGGTTCTGTATTTTTACTTTGAATTTTTGTATTAATATTTGACATTGGGCTGTAGTTTTTTTTTTTAGCTGCCATTGTTAGCTTGCTCCATAAAGATTCTTTCCCCATGTTCTTCATCAATTCAGGTAGCATTGGTATTCTGTGGTGCATAATAATTTTTTTTTAAAATATTTAGTTTATTATTTATTTGAAAGACAGAGTTACAGAGAGAGGTAAAGACAGAGAGAGAGGTCTTCCACAAGCTGGTTCACTCCCCAGATGGCCACAACGGCCAGATCTGCACTACTCCAAAGCCAGGAGCCAGGAGCCAGGAGCTTCTTCCAGGTCTCCCACTTGCATACAGGGGCCCAAGGACTTGGGCCATCTTCCACTGCTATCCCAGGCCATAGCAGAGAGCTGGATTGGAAGTGGAGCAGCCAGGACTAGAATCGGTACCCATATGGGATGCTGGTGCTTCAGGCCAGGGTGTTAACCCGCTGTGCCACAGCGCCCGCCCCATAATAATTGCCTAACTTCAGAAAGTAGTGCTTCAGTTGGGAGAAAAAAGTTACCTTTTCACAGCTTCATTATTTCAGTGGCAATTACGCTTCAATGCCTCTGTAGTAATTTTGGCAACCCATATTGCCTTAGAAAAATAATTCATCCTTTCTGGTTCTCTAATTTGTTCCCATATTGTTGAACTAAGTGTTCTTTCCTCATCCATTTTATTCCCCAGTACTATTCTTCTTGAAAATGTAGAAAATGATTTTTCATTTTATGGTTGCATTTTTCTTCAAACACTGAGTTTGTATATTTATTGGCTTTGTTATTTAATGAAATTTTAAATTAATTGATTATAAAAATAAGTTTCCTTCCTTCTTTCATTTTTAAGATTATTTTCTCATCTCTTAGAATTGTATACTTGATTAACATTTGTCTTTATAGAGTTATATTTATTGACTACTATATCTAAACCACCACTTGTAGTTTATTATATATTTCTATAATAGTTTTGTTAAATATTATTGTATAGACACATGAAAATAAATTTTAAATAAATAATTTAAAATTTCCAAGAGATGGAAATCTAGGGAGATTCCCCTTTTCCCCAGCCTATAATTAAATTCATTCAGAAAAATTTATTTTTTGTAAAAAACCTTACCCCATACTCCATTATTGAGATTGTCCTCATGTATGTATTATGTGTGTTGCAACAGCAAAATAAAGCAAAATATTTGTCTCCAGGCTGATCTGATAAATGGATTTTTGACAAAATAGAGTTGCTATACATGAATTTCAATCATGTTATTTGTTATGTCAAATAATGCTTTTTCAATTTTCTACATAATTTTTTCTCTAAATTTGATCTGTCATGAACTGAAAGAGAGATTAGCACTTACTACCATGTTTCTTTTCCCCATTTATTTATTCCTACTCTGTGTTTAGTAAAGCTATTTGGTACACAGATTCTCCATGAGTATGTCACATTATTTCACAGCAAAGGCAGTAACAGCACTCCGTTTCAGGATGTTTGCTTCAGTGGCAGATCTGCAGATGGTCTGCAGTGTTGAAGATTAGGGTTATTCTTTTCCATCTGCAGATTTGTTTAGATTTTAGGGTAGAAATAAGGTTTCTCTCAACATAAGGGAGGATGGACAGGTTCAGCAATGCTGAATAAGATCAGAATTTCCTAATCTTGGGATTTCTCTCCTGTAGTGCCACTTGCTCCATCAGCTGCTACTATCTGATATCTCCAGGTATTATTTGTGTTATAATTGGCTCCCTATCCCACTGTTCCTGCCTCAGTTCATGAGTTTAGATCTTCTGCAAATGTTGGAAAAATCCGTGAACTCCATCCTGTCAATTTTCTCAATAGCCCCTCTCCATGGTTTAACTGACAAATGAGATTGGGAGATCAAATGGAACAAGTCATTTCAGACTTTTTGTTTACAATACCTGCCTATGGGATGCATGTGCACTTGATATTTTTCTTTCCCCACTGAATGGTGAAAATATCAGATTATGGGTTCATATCTGAATTCTAGATAAAAGCGTGGAGTCTTGCATTTTCCCTAATTTTTGGAAACTGAGCATTGTTTCTGGGCAAGTGACTCTACTCTGTACCACTAAACCATTTATTGGATTTTTTTTTCTTAAGATACACACTTTTCAGGAGGCACAGCTGGAAATTTGAATTATAATTACCAGTGATAAAATTAACATGTTCCACACCATCCTGACTCCTCTGCCAATTTACTAATCTTTAGGGAACCTGCAGAGAAAAGAGGGCTATTAACCTCTAATATTTCAATATCTATGAGGATTTACTCATTTATCCTTTCTTCCTTCCTGTACATATTATCCAAAGAAATGGTTTTTCAAAGTTTACTTCACAATAATAAAATAGATTAGCAATACAGAAATAACAACAGCTATTCTTCTCAAGAGAAGTTAAAGTTTTTTTTTTCCTGGTGAGTCATTATGCTCTGCTTACACAATATTGATTATGCATTTCTCTTTACCTTTTAAATGACAGATATTTCAGAAATGCCTTGTCAAAAAGTACAAAGGCAATATCAAAGATGTCTTTTCAGATATTTTCTTCTTAAGAAACACATGAAGAGAAGCTGATTTATTCAAGAAGTTGAGAAGGTTTTTAGTATCTTTCAGATTCTGTTGATAATTAAGGGAAGCCTCTGTACCTCCCAAACATTTGCCCTGTTGGCTCTCTTATTGAATCATGATAATATAGAATTTTATATATATATATGTATATATATATGTATATATATTTTGACAGGCAGAGTTCGACAGTGAGAGAGAGACAGAGAGAAAGGTCTTCCTTTTTCCGTTGGTTCACCCCCCAAAATGGCCACTATGGCCGGAGCTACGAAATCCAAAGCCAGGAGCCAGGTGCTTCCTCCTGGTCTCCCATGTGGGTGCAGGGCCCAAGCACTTGGGCCATCCTCCACTGCACTCCCTGGCCACAGCAGAGAGCTCAACTGGAAGAAGAGCAACCGAGACAGAACCAGTGCCCCAACCGGGACTAGAACCCAGAGTACCGACGCCGCAGGCGGAGCATTAGCTTAGTGAGCCATGGTGCCGGCCTATAGAATCATATTTTACAATAGAAGTGCTTATTTCCTATCCGTTTTAGGGCTTCTAGCACATCTTGGTTTCTTAGGCTGTAGATGAGGGGATTTAACATGGGAATCATAATACCATAAAACACAGATGCCACCTGTTCTTGCTCTTGAGACCTATTGGTTCCATGATTTATGTACATATAAGAAAGAGTCCCATAGAAAATGGTGACTGCTGTTACATGGGAGGCACATGTGGAAAAGGCTTTTTTCCTCCCTGCAGCAGAAGACATCCTCAGGATGGCGGACAGAATATACATATAGGAAAACATGACCACCAACACGGTGAATGTCAAGTTAAACCCTACAAAGACTGTCAGGACCATGATGTTGAAGTCAACGCTGGAGCATGACAGGGCAAGAATTGGAGGTACATCACAGAAAAAGTGATTAATTGCATTGGACTTGCAAAATGGCAATGAGAAAGTGAAACCTGTGTTTACAGAAGCATTTAGGAAACCCATGACATATGAACCAACTAGCAGCTGAATGCAGAACCTCCGAGACATGACAACTGGGTAGTGAAGTGGGTTACAAATGGCCACATAACGGTCCACTGCCATAGCAGCCAGGATGTAGCAATCACTGGTTACAAAAGTCCCATAGACCAGTAATTGTACCACACATCCTGTAAATGAGATGGATTTGTTTTTGCATACAAAATTCAGCAGCATCTTGGGAGTGATAGCAGAGGCATAACAAAGATCAACAAAAGCCAAATGTTGGAGGAAAAAATACATAGGGGTGTGAAGTGAAGAGTCAGTCTTGATGAGTAGGATCATCCCAACATTGCCTAGTAAGGTAGCTGAATAGATCAGTAGAAAGACTATGAAGAGTATCAGCCAAAATCGGTGTTGACCAACAAATCCCAGGAGAATGAATTCAGTCACTTCAGTGCCATTTTTTGGTTCCATGGTTGTTAGCAAAGATTAAATATTAGCTGAAAAGTTACAAAGGAACAAAATCAGAAAAAAGTAAGACCATTATGACTTTTCTAACTCTGGATTTAGAATCGGTACCATATTTGGTTTCCTAGACATGGTTGAATTGGATTTTACATGTTAAGCATTAATACTCAAGGTAATATAATCTAGGGCCAGCATTGTGATATGGAGGGTAGAGGTTGTGATGCTGGCATCCCATGTGGGCCCTGGTTCACATCATGGATGCTCTGCTTCCTATCCAGCTCCCCATTGGTAGCCTGGGAAAGCAGCGGGGGATGGCCCGGGTGTTTGGGTCCCTGCTATTTATGTGGGAAACCCAGACGGGGCTCCTAGCCCCTGACTGCCTGGCCCAGCTCTGGCTATTGTGGCCATCTGGGGAGTATATCATTGAATAGAGGATATCCCTCTCTCTGTTTCTCCCTCTATCTCTGTGGCTTTGACTTTCAGAATAAAGAAACCTTTTTTTAAAAAAAAGATAATATTATTTATAATTTGGAGAAATTACCATTAGATGTATTCTCATTTTATAAATGTATCAATTAAGGAACATATAAAACAATACTTTTATTTAGTTATGCTTTTTAAACTATATTATATGTATTATTTCTCTTTGTCTAAATATGAATTATTATATCTGAAAATCTTAACATATCCAGATATTTATATTGCTTCTACTTAGTTCCATATTCTCATTTTACCTCTTTCACCTCCTTATGAACTCTGCTTGTTCAATCACAGACTCATGGTCATGTACAGTCCTCTATGAAGGTATTTATCAAAGTATCTATGATCAAGAATCTTTCTTTTTAAATTTTCCAATCTGTGGCAGACTGATTTTTTTGTACAAGGCAACAACATTATCAGAATATTCCAATTCATATCACTTTCCATACTTACCTCTTATCTCATCTATGTGGTGGGAAGGTAAAGTAGTACAGTCATATTGAAGATAACCTTGGACATGTTTGTAAAATTAAGTATGTGTCTGCACAGTCCAGAATTTCCAGCATAGGCACATATTCTAGTACACACCTATGTACATAGAATGTATAAAGTCTCTTCATAAAGTTCATGGAAATGTGTATTATGGAAAAATTATGCATAGATTTTAAGAAATTTTTGCACAAAGCAAACATCTTTTAATTTCATTTCTATGAACTTTTTGAAGTTCATCCATGTGTATTTGTATGAATGTGTATATTTACAAATATATATATATATATATTAAACACGTGAGAATGTTCATAGAAGCATTGCTTATCATAGGAAAAATACTATTAAACAAATCAGGGAAGAATGAGTAAAGTGTTGCCACGATATCTACATGGATAAACATCTCAAATGAAGCACCAGGTAATAGAAACAAGTTACAGACGTTCGATGGTGGTTCCTTTAATTAGATATCAGTAATTCTAGCCAGAGCTGAATACAGCTACAGAGATGGAATGGTCAGGTTTAGGTGGGTATGTGCCCTTAGTGCTGGGAGTATAGGAAATAAAGTCTGTTGCTACTATGGATTTCTCTGTTTCTTTTCAAAATCTGGAGCAATAGGCAGAATGGGATAACTGTGTAACAATGGAACAAGAAGGCATGCTCTTCAATTCTGCATTTAGTGAGGGCTAAGGGCCAGCAAGTTTGTGTAAGTTGCCTCCTTCTGTAATTTCTTGAGGAATAGAAGAAATGCAGGTCTTTCAAGGATGCTTCTGTTCAGTGGTTAAAAGCACTTGTCAGAGGAAGTTAGAGTAGACTGGGGGTGTACTTAAACTAGAATATGGATAGGGAAGTGAAGTTCACCACGTCGACTCAGGCATTGTGACTCACATAAAATGATCTGACATTATAGGGTACATTTTTCAAGAGACAGAGAAACGAGAGGCATACACATACACACATACGGAGCATCTGTTATGGGAAGTTCACTCCGAATTCTTTATTTCATCTATGAAGAGAGAGTATTTTCTCATCAAATGAGTACTACAGATAAGATGGCCAATTACCTGAGTATTTGAACATGGCTAACCTCCGTTGAGTCCCAGCATTTCTGCAGCTTTGATTATACTCAGTATTGTGCAGTGGCAAGGAAACAGGCCAACATGGACTTGAATTCTGGTTCCAGCAATTCAGAAAGATGAAGGGAAAAACCCCTTCAGCCTTAGTTTCTTCCTCTTTGAAAAGGAGATCAGAGAATTACTCAGAGGGTAAGGAATCCATGAGACCAGGGAGGTCTTTCCTTTTTGTGTGTCTGATTCAAGTTCTTTCATTAGTGCTTTACAAGTTTCCTTGTAGAGCCCTTTCACATACATAGATAAATTGATTCCAGGGTATTTTGTATAGCAATTGTGAATAGGATCAAAAATTAAAAACAAGACAAAAGCAAGTTGGAACTTAAAAGAAAGTGAAGGTAATGATTTCATTGCAACATTATAATAGCAAAAGTTCGCAAACAGGGTTAAATAGATTATAGTAGATCTAAATGTTGAAGATATATGTGCATATCATATACACTTATATATTAGGAAAGAAACGTCATTTTGCAAAACAAGCAAGGCATATTATGGAATAATATGTAGGTTGTGGACTGTTTAAAAATGTTTTTTTCACTTTTACTTTCTTTCTCATTTTTTTTTTTTTTGACAGGCAGAGTGGACAGTGAGAGAGAGAGACAGAGAGAAAGGTCTTCCTTTGCTGTTGGTTCACCCTCCAATGGCCGCTGCACCAGCGCACCGTGCTGATTCGATGGCAGGAGCCAGGTACTTCTCCTGATCTCCCATGGGGTGCAGGGCCCAAGGACTTGGGCCATCCTCCACTGCACTCCCTGGCCACAGCAGAGAGCTAGCCTGGAAGAGGGGCAACCGGGACTGAATCCAGCGCCCCGACCAGGACTAGAACCTGGTGTGCCAGCGCCGCAAGGCGGAGGATTAGCCTATTGAGCCGCGGCGCCGGCCTCTCATTTTCTTTAACTGTGGAAAATTCAAGAGGGATACATACTAAATTGTAATGGTTATATTTGGCCTTTGGAGTGAAGAGAGAGAGAAATCATTAAACTAATAGACATCTTTACCTTTTCCAATTTAAGATAGTCTTAACTGTTTTAGAAAGGAAGAGGAAGAGGAAGAGGAAGAAAAATAATTAAAAACCAGCTTTCTAGTAATGTAAAGTTCAGTTGAGCTGATTTATGTAAACTCTCAAGCCCTGGGCTAATATTGAATGTGCAGTCAACACTTGGTCATAATAACATGTGTAAAAAATACATTAAAGGTAAATAATATTCATTATTTAGTTCAATCAATCATTCAATTTCTGTTCATTCATATCATTCCTGAGCAACACTCAGCTGGATTCAAATTCCTCACTCCACTTCTGTTACATCATTAGCAATGAAATGATTCCTTCTGGTCTTGGGTGGAACATTTTGGGTGTTTGGCTCTGACTCTGCCCCAGCCTTACCTGCACACACTGCCATGATAAACAGAAGATGGTGAAAATGTCATTTGCTTCATCTTCCTTATGCCATATTTGATCTCAGATTCTCTTTGTGCAACTGGTGCAGGTTGATTGTCAGCCAAGGTCTATCCGAGCGTTTCTCCCCATCAGGGAGTTTATAGTTGGGGCCTGCTGCAACAGTACCCTCTTGAGAATCTGAAGTCCCATGGGCTGTGGTGGGACTGAAAAAACAATGCTCACCAGTTATTGTATGCTGACAAAATATTAAGCTTTCTAGAGAGGACAATTTTTTTTCCGTGTTACTGTAATTAGGGATTTTTGTTTCTTATTTTACATGGTTATTATTTAATTTTTTCTTGTTACAAAGCAGTTTGAGCACCTTTTCATGTATCCATGCATAGGTCTAGCTAATTATGCTTATTACTAAAATCAGTAAAACACATAGCTTCCTGAAAAAAGAAAATTATAACTTAAGAGCATATTGTCCCTACTGTGAAAAAGAGATACTATTATACTATAATGTGACCATATGTTAAATTAACACATTACTCATTATCTATTTATTTAAAGAAAAAATTTACTCTTGATTCCTTATTTCTTAAAAATATTTATTTCTGAAATCAGCTCTACATAGGACTTCCTTTCTTCCAGCTGTACTTTGTAACATCAGAATATTTCATTGTAACCATGTATGGAAAAAGATACTTCAAATCTGACTTTAAAATTTCTAGGATTAAATCTTTAATCGATCTGAAAAGAGAAAACTTGGTTCAGCAAATCTGCTTTTGATTAACAAGCAACCATAAGAGGGTGAATTGACATTCAAGGTTACTTAGAGCAAGACTAATGTCTCAGTTAGGAAAGTGTTCAACTGTTAGAAGGAAACTCATCTTACTTTGGCTTTGTTTTCCATTTGCAACAATAGTTTGGAAGTCAAGACTAGTATTTTGTGATTTGCTTAGTCTTTCCCATATGCCAGTTGCCTCAGTCTAAGTCTTCAGACATACTAGATATCACAATACCTTTCAAAGAAGAAAAAAAGAGATAAGTGCAGAGTGGTTACCATATATTTATATAATTTACACACACACACATATGTGTATATGTATATACATATATATATATATAGATATATAAATAACCTTGATCAAGAAAACAAAAACTTTCCATAAATCCCTCAGCAGGTTTCTAAGTACATCTTATTGGCTTGACCTCTGTAACACAGAGTAGTGGAATCTTTATGCTTGCACCACATCTCCTCTGCTATTTTATTTCAGAGCAACTATGGCACACAGATTCTCTGCCTACAAGTGGCCCATCTCCTCTACCATCTCTCTGCTTCTCTGCCTCAGGAATATCTTTCACGCCATGGAAGACCACTTGTTGGTGTCAGCGTAGATGTGTGGGTGTGTTAACATCTTTGGCAAGCCTTCAGCCAATGTGTGAGGAGAGCTGAATAAATGTCTCAATCTCTTGTCCTACAGAGGGACAATTCCAAGGGACACTCTGCATAGTTCTTTAAGTACTGGTGTGACTGAGTTCCAGTTTCCCAGAGTACAAAGCAGCTAGGCGGTTCACTCA